GTCTCCCTTAACCTCAGGCGTAAGAAAATTAAAACAGCCCAGGCCTAGGATCACCGCTAGACAGCAAAGTCGTATAGGAAATATAACAAAGTCCGACCATAAAAAACTAAATATCTATACTAAATATATATATATATATATATATATATATATATATATATATATATATATATATGTATATATGTATATATAAGTATATTATCTTAGCTATGTACACAATTAATTTTATATTTTTTGTATTTTATAATTTGTATTGTCATTTTTTAAATTTTATAACATTTTTAATTTCTAACGGTAATTTATGAAATTATTAAAATTCTTTAACAAATAGTCTACTTTTTCTTGGACTGTTTTACTTCAATTTATTACTAAATTTTGATCTTATCTAGATTTTCTCGTTTTATCTTTCACTCTTTGGAGTAAGAAGCTTCAGTTAAGAACCTCAAATAGGTAATACGCCATCACACCCGAGTGATTATACGTTCTATATCTTCATAAAATGTTTGAGAAGTGGGATATTAACGGAGTCCGCAATACTCTTGACCAATGAGTTACCTATCTGCCTCCGCGTGAGAATCTTAGGATTCTGTGCAATTTGTTTGAAATTTGATGCGTCTTCAATTGACGCAACGCATCTCCAAGCTCCTTGGGGGCGTTGAGCGCTTTGTGCTTTCGGACTAATCGATTAATATTTCAGTATGTAATATCCGTCACGTCTCGTCGCAGTCAGTTTTCACGAGGACCGCCAAGTAGCATCTTGCCCGCCAAGTAGCGTACGCCCCTGCGACACAGCGGTCAGAATTGGGAAGGAATTAGGATTAGGGGAGGGGGTTTAGAACACTTCACAGTGGTTGGCTGAGCCCTTGTGGAGCAGTCACACCCGTTTTGTTGAAACAAATTTCACATGAGATTGTCCGGGATTCGGTGGGAATCGAACCCGGGTCCTCAATGCAAGCGACTTCGCTCTGGGCTACCAGATTCAGTCGATTCTCCAAAGTAGAAAAACTTCTCAACCGTAATTAGCAAACCTAGGTGCCACCTAATTTATTTTTCATTAAATTTAACTATGAATATTCTATTTTCCTGGATTTGTGTAATATTGTAACCAATATTTCCACCATATTCCACATCCATCTACTCATGAAAATCTTGTCTATACACACAAGGTAATATCATAAGCTTTAATCCAATATCAAACCAGAATTAAAATGCACTCATTATTCACCCATCACCGCACATTGAAAGACTTTTATGAATTGTACTATCTATTGGTATTTTCGGGTCGACTGTCCAACTTTGCTAGCTAGTTAACGGTTAGACTTCTATTAAATACAAAATGTAATACAGAAAATAGATAGCGGCTATTTAGTTACCTCTAAAGTCAACAAAGCCAACTCAATAATCATTCTAAACAAATCTGATTACAACCAGAAAATGTATGAGTTTATAAGTAACAAACATATATCGTCAAACAATGATCCCACCAATACACACTTTTGCAGCATCAAAAAATAAATTATGGAGGCCAATGCTCTTTTTCCATCTCAAATAGAATAGAATTATCCCAATCCACCTCCTTCTCGACTACCCACCCTTCCAAAAATTCACAAGACTTCTGTTTCTACAAGACTTGGCGTATCATGTACACTAACACCACTACACACAAACTCGCACTGAAACTTAATAAAGATTTCTCTATATGCATCTGATTCTCGCCTACTCACTCTGTCTCTGATAGTATTGATTTAATTAACAATATTAAGGATGTAGCTGTGCCACCCAATGTCAAACATTTCTTCTGACGTGACTAACCATTTACCGAGCATTCCGACCACAGAATATTTTACCTGACATGCTTAACAGTTCTCTGAGCTGTATACCAATAAAACCCAACTCCACAATATGATATATCTCTGTTTAGATATATTTAGATAATTTGATAATACATTTGGTACTCAAACCTATGGGCTCCCCGCTGTCCCCAATACTAGCAGACATCTGAATGGACAATCTAGAGAAAATAATTTTAAAATCCGGACATTCTCTTAAACAAACTTATTTATTGGTACAGATAATTGATGATATAATAATTCTTTGGACCGGCACAGACAATTGAAGAAGTTCACTTATTTCGTAAATTCAGTACATTACACTATACATTTACCGTCGAAAAAACGACAAAAGAACTCTTCTACACTTCTCCATTATTTTACTGAATTACAGACATTTTTTGACACATATGAAAACCGATACACAGTCACAACATATACACGCAGTCACAACACATACGACCTCCATCCTCTCACAAACACACAGCAATCCGCGGTACGATTCATAGATTAGTCTCCATTTCCCTCTCCTCTCAGAACACTAGGGAAGAGATTCACACCTTAAAACAAATACGGTACCTCTCATATTTTATTTCGACATTATGCAGAATTTTTGTAGAAAGAAGTCACGTAAATATCAAAGGGAGCTCGCATGTCTCTGTCTCACTCACAAACCTTGGAATTGTGTGACAGCAACATCGATGTTTCGTGGGAAAAAACAAAACCCACAACAGGACAGAGGCGAATGTCTGACTTCAAAATATATCTAACAACGCGCTTTACTGTATGGTTTATGCCAAAATGAACCAAAAGAATGTTTATTCACATAACAAATCTATTGCTTTGGGTTATAGTAAAAAAATTAATGTTTACAAAGTATTTGTTATCTAGATTAATTGAGATTTTCTCATTATAATGGGAATTTTGCATCCACAGGTTTTTACAATCGATTTTGTCATATCTGTATTACTACAGTGTTATTTGACTTAGTTATATTGAGATAATTGTAACAATAATGATTATAAAATACGTCCCAAAAATTGGCATCTGAAACTGATAGTGGGTAGTCATAAACCAGATTATATTGTTTATTTCACTATCACGAAATATTGATACATCACTCAGTTTTCGTTAGGTATAAACGTTTACCATCTGCTTCGAAATATACCTACACATAAGTTGATTATTAATTCATAAATAGAAAAGAGCTTATATTGAAAGTGTTTCTCGTTAATGGTCACGTGGGCTAACCACAATATTCCAACATTATAAAAATAGTCCCCTCCGAGGCCAAAACGATTAAGGGATTTTTATAACCATTCTTTTGGTATGACGAATATTCTGATGAGATGTTTTATTCCTGAAATGACTCGCCCAATATATTAAAACATAAACATAATTCTACAGTAATTAAAAAGTAGAAAGCAAATTGATTATCACTCACATCCCGCTAGCGTGTTTCCGTTACGATTTCCTGAGCGACTGCTCAGAGGTTAGCCGTTAGAGGAAGTACGGAAGAAGCTGGGCCGGCGCCCCCGCACCTGGCTCTTATCTGTCTTTTATCGGGAACTTACAAGGTTTACTCTAGGCGTCGAATGCGGAGCAAAGTATATGTCACCTCAGAAGTGTGCAATTTTGGAGGACATTTAATGTTAAGAAAAATGTGTTTTCAGTTGTGTGTTCGCCAAAGAAATCATTAATTTGTTCAGGTAAAGGTATTCGCCAATGCATACAATTAAAATATTTATTCCTTCAGTCAGAATTTAATTCACACTAATGTTTTAAAAATTATATTACTTTAGTTCAACGTTTACACCTTTTAACTCCGTAAACTAAGGAGATGTATTTTTGCTATATTTTAGAATTGTTGTTTCTCTGCTTTCGTTATTATTGCAAAAAAATCAGAATTTCAAGTTTCTAATAGAATTAAGTGTATGGTCATTAGTTCACTCAATTTCATTCTAGGAAATATTATTGATACATTTGCTCCAAATTTATCCGTATCTATTGTGCCGACTTGTGAGCCATCTCCGATCGTCATGGGAAACGGCCAAACGGATCTTTAAATTTTCAATGCTCACGTTTTTTTCGTCCGTGTGTGAACCATGTCCATATGTGTGTGGACCATCTCGTCGTCTGCATAAGATAGGCTCTTACTAAGTTGAGCCTGGCTCCCGATAGTTTTAAATGGCTGATAAAGTCCCCCGGTTGCGTTAGAGAATGTGGTAGCGTCCGCAAAACATGTTCCGTGACCTACATTAAGAGGTCTGTGTTCGAATCCTAAGTGATTTCCAACAACTGCTAAACTCTCCACTTACTGGTAAACAAATCGTAATATGCAATAGGGATAGGGTTCTCTAGAGGCATTCCTGTGAATGATGGTTTTGTGGGACTTGTATTTGTGGATTTACTACTATTTGTGACGTATTTCATCCAGATTCTTTGAAGTTTTCGCTAATAATATAACAACTTTTAAATGTTTGAAGAAGTTCATGAACTAACAGATTTGAATGCAATAAATGTAAAAATGTAAAAATTCGCCTGCAATCTTGAAACGTCCCAAAGCGTCACACGTCTTTCACCAAACGTTTTGCACTCGAAGGTACTCTCGAAGAACTGAAAAGTGCTTTCAATTCGACAAAAATACAACAACCGATGTTTCTATAAAAAAGCCAACTTAAGATAAAACTACGAGAATTTATAAAGCAAAATAAACAAGTATGCGTGTTAGTTCAGAAATGTAGCAGTAGGATTTTTAGGGTTAATGTAATGTATAAACGAGGGGAGGAATTCGGATCTCAAAAGAACGTGCGTTACACATACGTCATACATAGTTTTTAACTTTTTTGACGTCAAATCAATAATAATATAAAAAAAATTTATAAAAAGACATAAACTTTATCTATCTGTTGGGCTTTCTTCTGTTGCAGGTCTCGCGGTTCGCCGTCTCCTCCTGCCGGCGCCTGTCCGCCCTGCGCTCATTGACAGCGCCAGCGCCACCGCCAGCGCGGTTCCGGTCCGCGCGTCGCGTCGCCAGGAAGCGCCTTCGGCCCCGCCCCGATCGGCGTCCCAGGCTCCGATAAGCCCCGCCGCCGAACCCGCCCCTCGGGCCCGCGCGCCCCTCGCCAATCTTGAGCAAACAGGCGGCGAGCGACGTAACTTAACGGACGTTCCGCGGCCCGCGCCACTTCCCGTCTCCCTCTCCGCGCGAGAGTCCGAAGCGTCGCGACGCCTCTGCCAGCCACGCGCCCCGGCCGCTCTCCTACCAGCAGCGCCCCAGCCGCCACCGCAGCCCCCGCCATGTCCAGCAAGCAGCAAGCTTACCGCGCCCTGGAGTACGGCCGGCGGCCCGCCCAAGCCGAGGAGGCCCGGCGCTTCGCAGCCGAAACCCGTGCTGCACCCTTCAGAGCCATGGAGCGAAGCGGCGACCGCGGAGGGGGTCGAGACAACGCTTGCTTCGAGATGTCGATAAGTCCACCTCGAGCAGCGTCCGTCTGGAGCTCCGCCCCCCGCTACGACACCCCGCCGCGAAGACCCGCCCCGCTTGGTGAGTGCCGGACGGCCGGCGGCCGCGCGTGCTGCGACGCGCTGGGGCGGACACTTTTTGCGAGCACCGGGGCCTTCCGTTCCCTGTATTTTACACATGTTGGCGAACGTGTACAGGGATTCGACCTTAAGCTATCTTGGGTAAATATGGGACTAATGATGTTTAGTATTACTGTATGGAAAACTTTTCTCTTTACCTTTGCTAACCGAAATAAATGACTCTGTAGAAACATCCATGAAGACGATATGGGAACTGTCATTTATAAAATAAAGCAATTGCCATCTCAGTCTTAGCTACTTAGGGCTTCCAAACGCTGGATTTTTTTCAAAATGGATATTTGCCAATCATTGTGCCCAACATTAAATTTCTAGATTTTTTTAAAAAAAATTTATAGCTACTTCCTATAAATCCTGTAGGACTGTAGGATTTTCAAATTTTCTTGATCAATTTTTTTCTTCCTCTTTTTTAAAGAACAAATCAATGTACGCCCATAAGTATAGTCAAAAGTCCGATTTATATTAGTATATCTGAAATTTCGAAAATATCAAAAGATCGTCTTTTATTCGAATTCCTTGAACATCATTATTATTTAAGCTAGAGGTTTTTTTGTAATGCAATCCTGAATAATAGAACTTTAAATTATTTATTAATTTTTTTTCAAAATATGGTCTCTTTTCGCGTAATTGTTAATCAAATCGCGACGATTAGCTAAAATTAACCTGACAAACTTTTCCGAAAATCTGCTCCAAAGTTTTTGAAAGTTACGCAAGGATAGAGTACAATCCTTTATTTTTATTTATTTTATTTTTTCCTCAATTTTATACAGTTTCATTCAAACTTTTGAAATTTCTAAAGTTAAAGATTTTTTCAAGGTTCCCACGCTCTTTGGCGTACAGGTTTTCAACAAATAGCTGTAGTATTAGTACTTTCCTCCTCTTTCTCCTTCCTCTAATCATCAGTGTCTCAGTGAATAAGAATATGGCCTCACAATCGTAAGGGTCAGTGACAATGATAGAGCAAACCGCGTACACGATAAGTCAAAGAGTATCTAATGACAAAATTGACAGATGATAGTGATTGACTGTGCTGAGCTTATACTACTAACCGATTTTTTCGGGGGCTTTATCCAGCTTCATGTCGATTTCGGTTATCCACTATGGGGACTACACATCTTTACACTAGAGACTGACACACTCGCGGGTTCCTAGGTCTGTGGTCAGCAGACTCACAAGGCCTTCCGTGACAACACACATTGATGCAAGACAAGGACCAAACAACAATTTCCACGGCGGCACTCGAACCCGCGACCCTACCCCCCGAGGGGCTGAGGCGACACACGCTCTTGCCACCTCTGCCATCCAAGTCGGCATACAATTAACCGATGTAATCGTCACAAAAAAATACGATATAATGTAAACTGTTGCAACACCACTAGTTTTTCATTGTATTTATCGTGTGACTGAATTAGCGAAGAGAACAGTCAATGAATGTATTTCTATAATTTATATCTTATTGCCGCCATCGTCGTGTTTGCTCGGTACGACGCACGCGTGGAAAAATGATGATGATGATGATGATGATGATGTAATTGGCGCGGTGAGTGATTACGGTATGTGGTGGCAACGGAATCGTACCGCAAACCAGCGTTGTCTACCACAAATTCCACAACGATCGTGATTTGAATTCCAGTACTCAGGAATGGAAAGCCAACCCACTGACTGCTACTCTTACAACGACTACCAACAAAAAACCAAAGACCACCCCAGATGTAACGAAATATGAAATTGTTTACCTGTTTTGCAACTACTGTCATTGATATCTGATATTTCTGCCTTATTAAATTACATTTTCTAAAATTCTGAGCATTCAAATTGTAAAAGAGTACGCGTCCCTAACCGTTCCCTAGAAACTCAGAATCAGGTTCAGTTGTTCCGAAAAATGGTAAGTTTAACGTTTTAAATAGATATATCCTCGTCTTCCATCATTACTTGCAATAATCTCACGTTTCTGATTGAATTACCTGCCTGGGTGGGCTTCCTTAGCGGTCCGTCTGGACGGCGAAGAACAGTGGTTAATTTCTACTCCTTTTTGAGATTTCATTTTCAGTCATGTACCGAATGCTAATTAGGTAACATACCAAATTAGGTAAGTCCAATCGTAGACAATAGTTACCATCTGGATACCGTATTGGCACTACCACCCCAAAGCGGCACGAAAGAACGCAATTTAAAGAAAAAAATATTTAAAAATCCCACTTGCGTACCACGAGTTTACTTAAAATGAAATAATGTCGGCGTACTCATGTCATTTTTACGCTATTTTGCCAACAAAATTGTTACCTGAAATTCTAATATAGTGCGCATTTGAATCATGCAAACATGGAAATAAAAAATATCAATTTCTTTCTGGCACTTTTCAGTTCTTTGCTTAGTTGTGCACACAGAAAATTCTGCTTTCTTTACCATTTTTACACGTAAACGTTTGCGAAATATTATTCAGCAAACCGTCAGACAAAATTTACCATTCATCACTATCTTACAAACTGTAATGAGATTACTGGGTAATTACTGAAAACGTCACCTGCCGTATTTTAACAACATTGTGAACATTTATATGACATTCAAACAGACTTTTGTAAACCTCTGTCTCCCATCCCATGAATCCATCACACACTTCTGAAGACTTCTGATTTATGCCCCTTCACAGTTGTCTTCTGCCACTCCATTTACATTTTCCCCATTGTTCATATTCCCAGGCCCTTTCGAAGCATGTCCATCCTCATTTGCAATCCCCACTTCCCACTTCCTATGGCGGACTGCCTCCTCTGCGACCTTGCATTCCGTCCTCGCGTCGTATCACCTTCCTTTCACACGTCCAATGCTGGTCACGTCCCTAACTACCGTCGTCTATGTTCCCGTGTTGACTTCCGTCCTCGCTTCCGTTCATATTTCCATTCCTTCTCCCATCCGCACTCTCTTGGCTCCCCCGGATATGCTACGGCGTTGCTATATGAATTTCTCAAATTCTCGGAATATTTCATCATATTTTAAGAAACATCTCGGGCAATAAAAGTCTATTAGATATGAGAAAAATGATTTCGAAATAATATTAAATTTTTGAATTTTTACCCTTGCGAAATGCCTAGCAATGGATCAAATCATACGCAAATTCCTTCGGTTTAAAAATACGGCGAGCAATAAAGGCTTGACAATAACACGGCTTAATAAAACAAGGTTTAAATGTCTGAATTCCGTGTGAGCTTTTGCAATCTATATTGAAAATTGATATTTTTCAAGAAAGGGGAACTTTAAGTGTAGGTTTTGAATCGTTGACATAATTGGCACACACGAATTTTTATTTCACGACCCTTTTCATTACGACAATTACAGCAATTTTTATTATTGCCCAGTCTGCAATCTTGACAGTCAACTAGCTGAGAGCATTTCACTGAAACAAAAGAAGAGCAAATGACTTCGAACACTATTTTGGGGAATTACACATGGAAAATACTCTCACAGTCGAAGGCGGGGCATCACCTATGTCGACTAAGTTGCGACAGGAAAATAATTATTCAATGAAGTTCTGTTTGCAAGACTTTGTATTATAATCTGGTTGCAAAATCTTGACGAAAAGTCATGATATATTTTCAAGATATTATTATATCGCTATTTAATTATTGAAGTTCATTGATATGAAAACCATTCGAAATAATTCTTTAAAAATTGAATATTTTCCGTTTAAGTCATTTCTGACAATTAACAAACTATTTTGTATAGTTTGCAGTTCGATTAAATTGATTGAAGGTTTAGAATACCTCCTTAGATGAATACAGAAGTACATGCAAATAATACCTGAATTTAAATTATTATCCTTTTATTCAAAAGAACTCAAGACATTTATAATAGGTGCAGCTCCAATAATTTAACATTTAAAAAATGTAAATACGATCTGCAATCTCACATGCCAAAAAATGGTTCATATCAACGGTGTTAGTCGTTCCAGTCGATATCTGGGTGCATCTTCATACTTGTGTAAAACTACACTTTTCTTCCAGAAAGATATCTTAAAATGAAATACGTCTTACATACCGTTATCACTTTTAAATAACTAATCATCATATTAATACTATGGGAGAAAAACTGCGCAGCCTAGAACACAAGGGAGCCCCAAATACATTTCTCAGCCTTTCGGGGCCTCTTTTTCCATTAATTTTTAAATTACTATGACATATTTTTCCTAGAAAATAAATGAAACATACACCACAGAGAATGAAATTTTAACATGAATTATATAATTATTAGTAAATACAAGTAATTGAATGTTGTAGGTTGCCTTATGATTTGGAAAGTCTCTTCCCCAAACGTCGTGCATCAATTATCGGCTTAAAAAAGGAGAAATAAGGAATGTATTATATTTACGGAAATAAAATATTTTATTACATAGGGCTAAGGCGCCCCTTTCGATTTTTCAGAGGGCCTACGGTCCCTCTGCTCCCACTCTCCCGTGCGCACGTCTATCACTACAGGTATTTCCATAAAATGTTTTCTGTCTATTCCGGTACCCCTGTCTTTCTTCCTGTACTGATAGCACAACAACTCCTGACGGAGCTGAGGCCTACCAGCGGCGTCCCGACCTTACGGCCATGGGTACCTTACTCCGCATTCTGGTCTTCTCAACCTGAGAAGTGTGCTTTCTCATCGACGCACAGCAACAGATACTGAGACATTGCAAGGAAACGCACACACTATAATTTGCCCCGACCGGGAATCGAACCCTGATTCCAGTTCTCCTCTGGGTGCCATAACTTCTCGAACGCACGACTCATAGGTTACCGTTTCCTGAGGAAGAACACAAACGTTTCCGTTCACGGTTCCACCCACGCCGCACGCTCGCAGAGGATGCGCGTCCCTGGCACGCTCCCGCCACGCGCCGGCACGCACCAGCACGCGCCGGTTGAGGGGGCGCCGAGCGTGACGCCTGGGGGGGGGGGAAGGGGAGGG